GCAGAGAGAAGAAGAAGATCACAAGTCACAAACAACATCCACACAGTCCACGGTCAGTGAGGACCAGTCAAGGTCCTGGTCTGGTCCTGGTCTCGGTCTGGTCTCGGTCTGGTCTCAGTCTGGTCTCGGTTCTGGTCTGGTCCCTGGTCTCGGTCTGGTCTCAGTCTGGTCTCGGTTCTGGTCTGGTCCTGGTCTCGGTCTGGTCTCGGTCTGGTCTCAGTCTGGTCTCGGTTCTGGTCTCGGTCTGGTCTGGTCTGGTCCTGGTCTCGGTCTGGTCTCAGTCTGGTCTCGGTTCTGGTCTGGTCCTGGTCTCGGTCTGGTCTCAGTCTGGTCTCGGTCTGGTCTGGTCGGTCCTGGTCCTGGTCCTGGTCCTGGTCCTGGTCTCTGTGGTACCTCTCTCCCTCCAGGAGTCTCCTGTACTCTGCGATCTCCAGCTCCAGGCGGGTCTTGATGTCCAGGAGCATGCTGTACTCCTGCCCCTGTCGCTCCAGATCTGCTCTGACGCCCACCAGCTGCCCCTCCAACGCCCCGACCTGCAAGGAGGAGGAGACAGGGGTTAGGACGCAGGAGGGAGGACGCAGGAGGGAGGAGGTAGGGGTTAGGAAGTAGGAAGCAGGAAGTAGGAGGTCTTCTAGGTCTTCTATGAAAACGAGACGCTGCATCTCAGGTGGGTTTTCATAAATACATTTATATTCAGGGAGGAATTAGGAGGTAGGAGTTAGGAGACAGGAGGTAGGAGACAGGAGGTAGGATTTAGGCGGAAGGAGTTGGAGACAGGAGGAAGGAGTTAGGAGGTAGGAGATAAGAGGTAGGAGACAGGAGGTAGAGAAGGAGTAGAGGTAGGAGACAGAGGAGAGGTAGAGACAGGAGGTAGGAGATAGGAGACAGGAGGTAGGAGTTAGGAGACAGGTGATAGGAGACAGGAGGTAGGAGACAGAAGGTAGGAGACAGGAGGTAGGAGACAGGAGTTAGGAGGTAGGAGACAGGAGGTAGGAGATAGGAGACAGGAGGTAGGAGTTAGGAGACAGGTGATAGGAGACAGGAGATAGGAGACAGGAGGTAGGAGTTAGGAGACAGGTGATAGGAGACAGGAGGTAGGAGACAGAAGGTAGGAGATAGGAGGTAGGAGACAGAAGGTAGGAGATAGGAGGTAGGAGACAGGAGGTAGGAGTTAGGAGGTAGGAGACAGGAGGTAGGAGACAGGAGGTAGGAGACAGGAGGTAGGAGTTAGTAGGTAGGAGTTAGGAGGTAGGAGTTGGAGACAGGAGGAAGGAGTTAGGAGGTAGGAGATAAGAGGTAGGAGACAGGAGGTAGGAGACAGGAGGTAGGAGATAGGAGACAGGAGGTAGGAGTTAGGAGACAGGTGATAGGAGACAGGAGGTAGGAGACAGAAGGCAGGAGACAGGAGGTAGGAGACAGAAGGTAGGAGACAGGAGGTAGGAGAAAGGAGGTAGGAGATAGGAGGTAGGAGACAGGAGGTAGGAGTTAGGAGGTAGGAGACAGGAGGTAGGAGATAAGAGGTAGGAGACAGGAGGTAGGAGTTAGGAGACAGGAGGTAGAAGACAGGAGGTAGGAGTTAGGAGACAGGAGGTAGGAGTTAGTAGGAGGGAGTGAGGAGGTAGGAGACAGGAGGTAGGAGACAGGAGACAGTAGGTAGGAGGTAGGAGACAGGAGGTAGGAGGAGTTAGGAGACAGAGGTAGGAGAGGAGAGGAGGTAGGAGACAGGAGGTAGGAGGTAGGAGGTAGGAGGAGTAGGAGGAGGTAGGAGGTACAGGAGGTAGGAGGTAGGAGTTAAGAGGTAGGAGGTAGGAGACAGGAGGTAGGAGACAGGAGGTAGGAGGTAGGAGTTAAGAGGTAGGAGTAGGAGTTAAGAGGTAGGAGGTAGGAGTTAAGAGGTAGGAGGTAGGAGTTAAGAGGTAGGAGGTAGGAGACAGGAGGTAGAAGACAGGAGGTAGGAGACAGGAGTTAGTAGGTAGGAGTTAGGAGGTAGGAGACAGGAGGTAGGACCTAGGACGTAGGAGACAGGAGGTAGTAGGAGAGGTAGGAGTTAGGAGGTAGGAGACAGGAGACAGGAGGTTAGGAGGTAGGAGGTAGGTTAGGAGGTAGGAGGTAGGAGACAGGAGGTAGGAGGTAGGAGGTTAAGAGGTAGGAGGTAGGAGTAGGAGAGGTAGGAGTAGGAGACAGGAGGTAGGAGACAGGAGGTAGGAGGTAGGAGGTACAGGAGGTAGGAGTTAAGGAGTAGGAGGTAGGAGACAGGAGGTAGTAGGAGGTAGGAGTTAGGAGGAGGTAGGAGGTAGGAGGAGGTAGGAGGTAGGAGAGGAGGTAGGAGGTACAGGAGGTAGGAGACAGGAGGTAGGAGGTAGGAGTTAGGAGGTAGGAGGTAGGAGACAGGAGGTAGGAGGTAGGAGACAGGAGGTAGGAGGTAGGAGGGAGGTAGGAGGAGTAGGAGACAGGAGGAGGTAGGAGGAGGAGACAGGAGGTAGGAGACAGGAGGTAGGAGGTAGGAGGTAGGAGTCAGGAGGTAGGAGACAGGAGGTAGGAGTTAGTAGGTAGGAGTAGAGTTAGGAGGTAGGAGTGGAGACAGGAGGAAGGAGTTAGGAGTAAGGAGAGGTAGGAGACAGGAGGTAGGAGGAGGAGATAGGAGACAGGAGGAGGAGTAGGAGACAGGTGATAGGAGCAGGAGACAGGAGGTAGGAGACAGAAGGTAGGAGACAGGAGGTAGGAGAAAGGAGGTAGGAGATAGGAGGTAGAAGACAGGAGGTAGGAGTTAGGAGGTAGGAGACAGGAGGTAGGAGATAAGAGGTAGGAGACAGGAGGTAGGAGTTAGGAGACAGGAGGTAGAAGACAGGAGGTAGGAGTTAGGAGACAGGAGGTAGGAGTTAGTAGGTAGGAGTTAGGAGGTAGGAGACAGGAGGTAGGAGGTACAGGAGGTAGGAGGTAGGAGACAGGAGGTAGGAGTTAGGAGGTAGGAGACAGGAGGTAGGAGGTAGGAGATAGGAGGTAGGAGCTAGGAGACAGGAAGGTAGGAGTTAAGAGGTAGGAGTTAAGAGGTAGGAGGTAGGAGACAGGAGGTAGGAGGTAGGAGTTAGGAGGTAGGAGGTAGGAGACAGGAGGTAGTAGGTAGGAGGTAGGAGTTAGGAGGTAGGAGACAGGAGGAGGTAGGAGGTAGGAGAGGAGACAGGAGGTAGGAGGTAGGAGTTAGGAGTTAGAGTAGGAGACAGGAGGTAGGAGTAGGAGGAGAGGAGGAGGTAAGGAGGTAGGATTAAGAGGAGGTAGGAGGTAGGAGTTAAGAGGAGGTAGGAGGTAGGAGGACAGAGGTAGGAGGTAGGAGACAGGAGGTAGTACAGTAGTAGGTAGGAGTTAGGAGGTAGGAGACAGGAGGTAGGACCTAGGAGGTAGGAGACAGGAGGTAGGAGACACGAGGTAGGAGGTAGGAGTTAGGAGGTAGGAGACAGGAGGTAGGAGGTAGGAGACAGGAGACAGGAGGTAGGAGTTAAGAGTAGGAGGAGATAGGAGTTAGGAAGAGGTAGAGGTAGGAGTTAAGAGGTAGGAGGTAGGAGACAGGAGGTAGGAGGTAGGAGTTAAGAGGTAGGAGGTAGGAGTTAAGAGGTAGGAGGTAGGAGACAGGAGGTAGGAGGTAGGAGTTAGGAGGTAGGAGGTAGGAGACAGGAGTTAGTAGGTAGGAGTTAGGAGGTAGGAGACAGGAGGTAGGAGACACGAGGTAGGAGGTAGGAGACAGGAGGTAGGAGTTAAGAGGTAGGAGACAGGAGGTAGGAGGTAGGAGACAGGAGGTAGGAGTTAAGAGGTAAGAGGTAGGAGTTAAGAGGTAGGAGGTAGGAGACAGGAGGTAGGAGGTAGGAGACAGGAGTAGGAGACAGGAGGGAGGAGGTAGGAGGAGTAGGAGACAGGAGGTAGGAGACAGGAGGTAGGAGGTAGGAGACAGGAGGTAGGAGACAGGAGGTAGGAGTCAGGAGGTAGGAGACAGGAGGTAGGAGTTAGTAGGTAGGAGTTAGGAGGTAGGAGTTGGAGACAGGAGGAAGGAGTTAGGACGTAGGAGATAAGAGGTAGGAGACAGGAGGTAGGAGACAGGAGGTAGGAGATAGGAGACAGGAGGTAGGAGTTAGGAGACAGGTGATAGGAGACAGGAGGTAGGAGACAGAAGGCAGGAGACAGGAGGTAGGAGACAGAAGGTAGGAGACAGGAGGTAGGAGAAAGGAGGTAGGAGTAGGAGGCAGGAGACAGGAGGTAGGAGTTAGGAGGAGGAGGTTAGGAGATAAGGAGGTAGGAGACAGGAGGTAGGAGCTAGGAGACAGGAGGTAGAAGACAGGAGGTAGGAGTTAGAGAGGAGGTAGAGTTAGTAGGTAGGAGTTAGGAGGTAGGAGACAGGAGGTAGGAGACAGGAGGTAGGAGTTAGGAGGTAGGTGACAGAGGTAGGAGGTAGGAGTAGGAGGTAGAGCTAGGAGACAGGAGGTAGGAGGTAGGAGTTAAGAGGTAGGAGTACAGGTAGGAGGGTAGGAAGACAGGAGTAGGAGTAGGAGAGGAGGTAGGAGGTAGGAGAGAGGAGTTAGGAGGTAGGAGGAGGTAGGAGACAGGAGTAGAGAGGACAGGAGGTAGGGTAGGAGGAGTAGGAGGTAGGAGAGGAGGAGGTAGGAGGTAGGAGGTAGGAGGTAGGAGAAGGAGGTAGGAGGTAGTAGGAGGAGGAGGTAGGAGGTAGGAGGTAGGAGAAGAGGTAGGAGGTAGGAGGTAGGAGGTAGGAGAGTAGGAGGTAGGAGAGGAGAGGAGGTAGGAGAGGAGGTAGGAGACAGGAGGTAGGAGGTAGGAGGTAGGAGACAGGAGGTAGGAGTAAGAGTAGAGACAGGAGTAGGAGTTAGGAGGTAGGAGGACAGGAGGTAGGAGAGAGGAGTTAGGAGTAGGAGGAGGTAGGAGACAGGAGTAGAGACAGGAGGAGGAGTAGGAGAGGAGACAGGAGGTTAGGAGGTAGGAGTAGGAGGAGGAGGTAGGAGGTAGGAGACAGGAGTAGGAGGTAGGAGGTAGGAGAGGAGACAGGAGGTAGGATAGGAGGTAGGAGACAGGAGGCAGGAGTAGGTAGAGAGTAGGAGTTAGGAGGTAGGAGGAGGTAGGAGGTAGGAGTAGGAGTAGGAGACAGGAGGTAGGAGGTAGGAGACAGGAGGTAGGAGACAGGAGGTACAGGAGGTAGGAGGTAGGAGGTAGGAGGTAGGAGACAGGAGGTAGGAGGTAGGAGGTAGGAGGTAGGAGGTACCTTCATCTGGAAGCCGCTGAGTTGAGCGGCGTATCTGGCCTGGATCTCAGACAAAGACATTTCAAGAGACGCTTTCTACAAGAACAAGAAGAAGAAGTCAGATCTTCAAAGATCTAAACCAGGACTAGACCAGGACTAGACCAGGACTAGACCAGGACTAGACCAGGACTAGACCAGGACTAGGTGGAGTCAGGTCGTGAGCTGCAGGTCTCACCATGCTCATCATGGACTGCAGCTCGATCTCCAGCGCCTGCAGAGTGCTCTTCACTTCTTTGATTTCTGATGTGGACGACTTCAGGGTCATTTCTGTGGTGGCCACCTCCTTCGACAGCGCCTCAGACTGAGAAGAAAGAGGCTCAGAAACAGGACCAAAGACAGTCCAGGACCAGGTCTAAACCAGGACTAAACCAGGTCTAAACCAGGATTAAACCAGGACTAAACCAGGACTAAACCAGGTCTGAACCAGGACTGAACCAGGTGTGTACCTTGGCGTGGAACCATCCCTCCAGGTCCCTCTGGTTCTTGGCGGCCACGGCCTCGTAGTGCTCGCGGATCTCGGCCATGACTTTGGTGAGATCTTCCTGAGGAGCGGCGTCCACCTCCACGTTCACCTGCCCACTCATCTGAGAGCGCAAGAGCAGCAGGTCCTGCAGGGGGCGCCACAGACAAACCGTTAGTCTGTGTCCGTCTTCTTCAGGATTGGGAGGATTTGTAGTAGTATTTGTAGTAGTATTTGTAGTAGTATTTGTAGTATTGTAGTAGAAGTACCTCCTCGTGGTTCTTCTTGAGCGTGACCAGGTCGTCCTTCAGGGCGTCGATCTGCAGACTCAGGTCGGCTTTGGCCATTCCCAGTTCTCCCAACATCATCCTGAGCCCCGCGATGTCGGCCTCCACAGACTGACGCATGGTCAACTCTGTCTCGTACCTGAGGGAGGGCATCTGGATTAAACACACCGCACCACAGACCAGACCAGAGACCAGACCAGACCAGACCAGACCACAGACCAGACCAGACCAGACCAGAGACCAGACCACAGACCAGAGACCAGAGACCAGACCAGAGACCAGACCAGACCAGACCAGACCAGAGACCAGAGACCAGACCAGACCAGAGACCAGACCAGACCAGAGACCAGAGACCAGAGACCAGACCAGACCAGACCAGACCAGACCAGAGACCAGACCAGACCAGACCAGACCAGACCAGAGACCAGACCAGAGACCAGACCAGACCAGAGACCAGACCAGACCAGACCAGACCAGACCAGACCAGAGACCAGAGACCAGACCAGACCAGACCAGACCAGACCAGACCAGACCAGACCAGACCAGAGAGACCAGACCAGACCAGACCAGAGACCAGACCAGACCAGACCAGACCAGACCAAAGACCAGACCAGACCAGACCAGACCAGACCAGACCAGACCAGACCAGACCAGACCAGACGAGACCAGAGACCAGACCAGACCAGACCAGAGACCAGACCAGACCAGAGACCAGACCAGACCAGACCAGACCAGACAGACCAGACCAGACCAGACCAGACCAGAGACCAGACCAGAGACCAAAGACCAGAGACCAAAGACCAGACCAAAGACCAGACCAGACCAGACCAGACCAGACCAGACCAGACCAGACCAGACCAGAGACCAGAGACCAGACCAGACCAGACCAGAGACCACAGACCAGACTGTGGTGTGGAAGGTGCATCAGAGTCTCTCACTTGGACTTGAAGTCGTCTGCGGTGAGTTTGGCGTCGTCGATGGCGCGGAACAGATGAGCGTTCACCATCGCCGCCTCGAGAATCTGAACAAACACAAAAACCTGGTCTAAACCCGGTCTAAACCCGGTCCACATTTGGTCCAAACTCGGTCCACACTGGGTCTGACCTGGGCCTGCAGTTCCTGGACGGTGCTGAGGGGGGCGCTGTAGTCTCCGGTCGAGGGGCAGGTCTTCTGGTCCAGGAAGTCCCGGATCCTGGACTCCATCTCACCGTTTCCCTCCTCGAGTCGCCGAACCTTCTCCAGAAACGCCGCCAAGCGAACGTTCAGGCTCTGCAGCGCCGCCTTCTCATTGGCCGAGATGTCCTGGTGCCCGCCCTCTGCTCCGAAAGCCCCGCCCCCAAACCCGGACCAGGCCCAGGCCCCAGACCCAGACCCAGACCCAGACCTGGCTCCTCCTCCTGCGACCTAAAAACAAACAAACCCTGTGATTGGTCGTTTGGTTGAAGGGGGCGGGGCTTTAGAGAACAGCTTTAAACAAGATTTTTATGGTTCTCACAGTTTGAGTCTTTATGGTTCTCACACAGTGTTTGAGTCTTTATGGTTCTCACAGTTTGAGTCTTTATGGTTCTCACAGTGTTTGAGTCTTTATGGTTCTCACACAGTGTTTGAGTCTTTATGGTTCTCACACAGTGTTTGAGTCTTTATGGTTCTCACACAGTGTTTGAGTCTTTATGGTTCTCACAGAGCGGGGGATTGTGGGAGTTTGAGTTGAGTTGTTTGAGTGATAAGTTGAGTCTTTATGGTACTCACTGCGTACAGCGGTGACATCTTGACTCCGCCCTTGACTCCGCCCCCACACATGGAGCTGCTCCTGAAGCTGCCGCCGCCCCCTGCAGAGCTGAGGAGGAAGTGGAGCCGTGAGCCCCACTGACAGAGACAGGTGAGGGGCAGGTGATGACAGAGACAGGTGAGGGGCAGGTGCTGACAGAGACAGGTGAGGGGCAGGTGATGACAGAGACAGGTGAGGGGCAGGTGATGACAGAGACAGGTGAGGGGCAGGTGAGGGGCAGGTGATGACAGAGACAGGTGAGGGGCAGGTGATGACAGAGACAGGTGAGGGGCAGGTGCTGACAGAGACAGGTGAGGGGCAGGTGATGACAGAGACAGGTGAGGGGCAGGTGATGACACAGACAGGTGAGGCAGTGTGACAGGGACAGGTGAGGGCAGGTGACAGTGACAGGTGAGGGCAGGTGCTGACACAGACAGGTGAGGGGCAGGTGACAGAGACAGGTGAGGGGCAGGTGATGACAGAGACAGGTGAGGGGCAGGTGATGACAGAGACAGGTGAGGGGCAGGTGATGACAGAGACAGGTGAGGGGCAGGTGATGACAGAGACAGGTGAGGGGCAGGTGATGACAGAGACAGGTGAGGGGCAGGTGATGACAGAGACAGGTGAGGGGCAGGTGCTGACACAGACAGGTGAGGGGCAGGTGCTGACAGAGACAGGTGAGGGGCAGGTGCTGACACAGACAGGTGAGGGGCAGGTGATGACACAGACAGGTGAGGGGCAGGTGCTGACAGAGACAGGTGAGGGGCAGGTGCTGACACAGACAGGTGAGGGGCAGGTGATGACACAGACAGGTGAGGGCAGGTGATGACAGAGACAGGTGAGGGGCAGGTGATGACACAGACAGGTGAGGGGCAGGTGATGACAGAGACAGGTGAGGGGCAGGTGATGACAGAGACAGGTGAGGGGCAGGTGATGACAGAGACAGGTGAGGGGCAGGTGCTGACAGAGACAGGTGAGGGGCAGGTGATGACAGAGACAGGTGAGGGGCAGGTGATGACAGAGACAGGTGAGGGGCAGGTGCTGACACAGACAGGTGAGGGGCAGGTGCTGACAGAGACAGGTGAGGGGCAGGTGCTGACACAGACAGGTGAGGGGAGGGGCAGGTGAGGACAGAGTGACACAGAGACAGGTGAGGGGCAGGTGCTGACTGACAGAGACAGGTGAGGGGCAGGTGCTGACACAGACAGGTGAGGGGCAGGTGATGACAGAGACAGGTGAGGGGCAGGTGACTGACAGAGACAGGTGAGGGGCAGGTGCTGACAGAGACAGGTGAGGGCAGGTGATGACAGAGACAGGTGAGGGGCAGGTGCTGACACAGACAGGTGAGGGGTGAGGGCCAGGTGATGACACAGACAGGTGAGGGGCAGGTGATGACAGAGACAGGTGAGGGGCAGGTGCTGACAGAGACAGGTGAGGGGCAGGTGCTGACAGAGACAGTGTGAGGGTGATACCAGGACTAAACCAGGTCTAAACCAGGACTAAACCAGGTCTAAACCAGGACTAAACCAGGACTAAACAGGACAAACCAGACTGAACCAGGACTAAACCAGGTAAACCAGGACTAAACCAGGACTAAACCAGGTCTAAACCAGGACTAAACCAGGACTAAACCAGGTCTAAACCAGGACTAAACCAGGACTAAACCAGGACTAAACTAAACCAGGTCTAAAACCAGGACTAAACCAGGACTAAACCAGGTCTAAACCAGGACTAAACCAGGACTAAACCAGGACTAAACCAGGACTAAACCAGGTCTAAACCAGGACTAAACCAGGACTAAACCAGAACTGAACTTTGATGATGAAACTTTACCTGGAGCAAAATAAACGAGTAAACATCATTTTAACCCAGTTTGTTTCTTTTTGTTGTTTTTGAGTTTTACAGTCGCACAAACTTTGAATCATGATCCAGAAGCTCCGACGCTTCTGATCCTACAGAATAAACTAAATGAGAAGGAAGAAAGTCGGATTTGGAGCTTCTTCTTCTTCTTCTTCTTCTTCTTCTTCTTCTTCTTCTTCTTCTCTTCTTCTTCTTCTTCTTCTGTGAGTTTGGTTTTGTGGGGAGCAGTTCTCTGTTTATTTTTTCTGCTTCTTATTTAAAACTGATTCAACCTTTTCTCTTTATAATAATAATAATAATTCTAATGTTCTGTGAGCTGCTGCGTCCAGAACCAGAACATCTCCCTGTGGAGCACTGACGTCTGAGTCTGAGTCTGAGCGTTTGGAAGAGCAGAGCAGGTGAGATGAGGACAGGACAGGGTGAGATGTTCAGTGGAAAATGAAACGTTTAAAAACAGGAGGATGACGTTTTCCCACAAAAAGAACCACAGGTCTGAGTCTGACAGAAGATAAAACATGTTCACCTGCTGCTGGAGCTCATCACACTCGTCATGCTGGACTTGAGCTGGACTCTCGAGCTGCTGGAAGTTCTGAAGGTTCTTGGAGGTTCTTGGAGGTTCTTGGAGGTTCTTGGAGGTTGGTGGAGGACGTGCTTTGCTTCAGATAAAGTGCCCCCCAGAGTCTAACCCACAACCTTTATAAGTGCAGGTGTGGGCGGGGCTGTGGTGGTGTGGGCGGGGCTGTGGTGGTGTGGGGTGGTGGGTGGTGTGGGCGGGGCTGTGGTGGGATCTAAAGCCTTTAATGATCTTTAACGATGTTTAATGATGTTTAATGTTTCTGCGGTCGGAGCCTCGAGCACAAACCTCACCCTGCGGTTTATAACAGTTTATCTGTTTGTAAAGGACACGGGACACAACCCGACACACACAGGAGGCACCTGACACACACAGGAGGCACCCGACACACACGGGAGGCACCTGACACACACAGGAGGCACCTGACACACACACACGGGAGGCACCTGACACACACAGGAGGCACCTGACACACACAGGAGGCACCTGACACACACACAGGAGGCACCTGACACACACAGGAGGCACCTGACACACACAGGAGGCACCTGACACACACAGGAGGCACCTGACACACACAGGAGGCACCTGACACACACAGGAGGCACCTGACACACACAGGACACCTGACACACACAGGCACCTGACACACACAGGAGGCACCTGACACACACACAGGAGACACACCTGACACACACAGGACACACCTGACACACACAGGAGGCACACTGACACACACAGGACACACACACTGACACACACGGGAGGCACCTGACACACACAGAAGGCACCTGACACACACAGGAGGCACACACACAGACACACACACACACGGAGGGCACCTGACACACACAGGACCTGACACACAGGGAGGCACCTGGACACCACACACAGGAGGCACCTGACACACTGACACACACAGGAGGCACCTGACACACACAGGAGGCACCTGACACACACAGGAGGCACCTGACACACACAGGAGAAACTCCTGAAGCCCAAACACAGACCTGAACTTTAATCCATGTTCTACTGTTCTAAAGTTCTAAAGTTCTAATGTTCTAATGTTCTACTGTTCTACTGTTCTAATGTTCTAATGTTCTAATATTCTAAAGTTCTACTGTTCTAATGTTCTAATGTTCTAAGTTCTAAGTTCTAAGTTCTAATGTTCTACTGTTCTAATGTTCTAATGTTCTAAAGTTCTAAAGTTCTAATGTTCTAATGTTCTAATGTTCTACTGTTTCTACCGTTCAAAGTTCTAAAGTTTCTAATGTTTCTACTGTTCTACTGTTCTACTGTTCTAATGTTCTAATGTTCTAAAGTTCTAAAGTTCTAATGTTCTAAAGTTCTAATGTTCTACTGTTCTAATGTTCTACTGTTCTAATGTTCTAATGTTCTAAAGTTCTAAAGTTCTAAATGTTCTAATGTTCTAATGTTCTAATGTTCTACTGTTCTACTGTTCTAATGTTCTAAAGTTCTAAAGTTCTAAGTTCTAATGTTCTAATGTTCTAATGTTCTACTGTTCTACTGTTCTAATGTTCTAATGTTCTAAAGTTCTAAAGTTCTAAAGTTCTAATGTTCTACTGTTCTACTGTTCTACTGTTCTAAAGTTCTAAGTTCTAATGTTCTACTGTTCTAATGTTCTACTGTTCTACTGTTCTAATGTTCTAATGTTCTAAAGTTCTAAAGTTCTAATGTTCTACTGTTCTACTGTTCTACTGTTCTAATGTTCTAAAGTTCTAATGTTCTACTGTTCTACTGTTCTAATGTTCTACTGTTCTATTGTTCTAAAGTTCTAATGTTCTGCTGTTCCACCCATGTTCTTCCTGTTCTCCGGGGTCGGGTGGTGGGGGCATCAGTCTCAGCTCTCGATCAGAATCAGAAAAAACACGAGAAGTTTCACAAAAACTCAGAAGTGTCGAGTTCAGGCTCCAGCCAATCAGAGAAGAGACAGACGTTCCCCAGATCCTGGAGGATTTAAAAGTCGGAACAAAGAGAACGTTTGGTGAGTTTGAACTCGGGGAAAGTCGTTCTTGTTCTTCTTCCGTCAGGATTTGGAGCTTTACAAACGTCACGACCAAACAGCAGCGACTGGTTCAATAAAAAAAGTCCCGTCTACTGTCGAGTGAACGAATCCTAAAGCTGCAGGTCACACAGTTTCCACCAAGTGAAACCAGCTCACGAATCAGGAGAATCAGTCTGAGCAGAGATTCCCAGACTTCCTTCACCCCAGACACTTCCTGCAGCTCCTCTGGGGGACCTGAGGCGACCTGAGGCGTCCCCAGGTCAGTCCAGAGACACAGTCCCTCCTCCCGGGGCCCGGACGTCCCTGAGGCGTCGTCTCCTCGCGGTGGAGGTTTGTGCCTGATGTTCCTGGAGCTGTGGTCGGAGCTTCATGTCCCTGGTCCTGAGGCACCGGGTCGTGGGGACGGGTCAGACTCAAAGACGTCCAGAAGCTCCTCGTGATGAAGAACCGAACAAAACCACGTCAGCAGAGCCTCAACGTGGAGCCAGGACCGAGGCAGGAGCTCCACACCCAGGGTCTGATGGTCGGGTTTTCCTCACAAGGTCCAAGGTTCAGCCCGAAGGAACAACGTGAGGAGACCTGCCCAGGACCCACCGCCGCAGGACCCACCGCCCCAGGACCCACCGCCCCGGGACGAGACGTACGGGCCAGAGAGCTGAGCCAAGACCGAGACCAAGACCAAGACCAGGACCAAGACCAGGACCAAGACCAAGACGAGGACCAAGACCAGGAACAAGACCAAGACCAAGACCAGGACCAAGACCAAGACGAGGACCAGGACCAAGACCAAGACCAAGACCAGACCAAAGGACCAGGACCAAGACCAAGACCAAGACCAGGACCAAGACGAGGACGAAGGGGAAGACCAAGACCAGGACCAAGACCAAGACCAAGACCAGACCAAGGACCAGAAAGACCAAAGACCAAGACCAAGACCAGACCAGACCAAGACCAACAAGACCAAGACCAAGACCAAGACCAGGACCAGGACCAAGACCAAGACCAAGACAGGACCAGGACCAAGACCAGGACCAGGACCAAGACCAAGACCAAGACCAAGACGAGGGCAAAGACCAAGACCAAGACCAAGACCAAGACCAAGACCAAGACCAAGACCAAGACGAGGGCAAAGACCAAGACGAGGACCAAGACCAAGACCAAGACGAGGATGAAGGGGAAGACGAAGACAAAGACGAAGGGAAGACGAAGACGAAGACCAAATCTCCAGACCTGGAGCCTGACTCTGTCCTCATGTCCTCATGTCCTCATGTCCTCATGTTCTCATGTCCTCATGTCCTCATGTCCTCATGTCCTCATGTCCTCATGTCCTCATGTCCTCATGTTCTCATGTCCTCATGTCCTCATGTCCTCATGTTCCTCATCTCATGTCCTCATGTCCTCATGTTCCTCATGTCCTCATCATGTCTCTCATGTCTCTCATGTCCTCATGTTCTCATGTTCTCATGTCCTCATGTCCTCATGTTCTCATGTCCTCATGTCCTCATGTTCTCATGTCCTCATGTCCTCATGTTCTCATGTCCTCATGTTCTCATGTCTCTCATGTCTCATGTCTCATGTCCTCATGTTCTCATGTTCTCATGTCCTCATGTCCTCATGTCCTCATGTTCTCATGTCCTCATGTTCTCATGTTCTCATGTTCTCATGTCCTCATGTCCTCTCCTGTTCATGTTCTCATGTCCTCCTCATGTCCTCATGTTCTCATGTCCTCATGTCCTCATGTTCTCATGTCCTCATGTCCTCATGTCCTCATGTTCTCATGTTCTCTCATGTCTCATTCCTCATGTCCTCATGTTCTCATGTCTCTCATGTCCTCATGTCCTCATGTTCCTCATGTTCTCATGTCCTTCATGTCCTCATGTCCTCATGTCCTCATGTCCTCATGTCCTCATGTTCCTCATGTCCTCATGTCCTCATGTTCTCATGTCCTCATGTTCTGTTCTCATGTCTGATGAGTCTGTCAACAGAGATGTTTTCAGTCTGAGAGGAGAACATTCTGTTCTGTTCTGTTTTGTTTTGTTCTCTTCTCTTCTGGTTTGTTTTTTTTGGCGTCTCGTTTTGGTCGTGACCTTTGACCTCTGGCGCCGTTCGTCTGAGGATCTGTGAGTTTAATGTGAAATCGTGTGAATAAAGAAATAAATCAGAAAAGATCATAAAGACGTCAGAGAAAATCACAGAGGAGAAAGTAAAGAGTCGTTTAAAAAAACATGTAAAAACTCCCATTACACGAGAAGAGGAGGAGAAGAAGAAGAAGAGGGGGGGGGGGGGGGCATTTGATCAAAGACGAGGAAACATGAAACAGTTTGACTCTGTGTCCCAACTCCTGTCCAAACTGATCTGGGGTCAGAGGCAGAACCACCGTCTGTGTCAAGTCTTTATTTATTTGTATTTATTGGTATTTATTTTATTTATTTGCATTTATTTGTATTTATTTTTATTTATTGGTATTTATTTTTATTTATTGGTATTTATTTTTTGATTTATTTTATTATTTATTTATTTATTGTATTTATTTTATTTATTGCATTTATTTTTATTTATTTTATTTATTTATTGGTATTTTATTTATTTATTTGCATTTATTTTATTTATTTATTTATTTTTATTTATTGGTATTTATTTTATTTATTTGCATTTATTTGTATTTATTTGTATTTATTGTATTTATTTTTATTTATTGGTATTTATTTTATTTATTGGTATTTATTTGTATTTATTTGTATTTATTTTATTTATTTTTATTGATTTGATTGATTTATTGCCTGAACAGGGGCAGAGCAGATTAAAGAACGTCTACAACACTGTGGTGTAAATATCACAGATCATGTGGAGAACGTTCAGACGTCCGTCTGTCGTTTCTAAACAGAAAACACCACAAATGTAACAAAGAAACAAGAAGAACAAGCCACAGGTCTGAACTAGAAGTTTCCACACGTCTGTTTGTCCCTGAGCCTGAGTCAGTGGGATGTGAAAGTGTCAGTGTTTCTATTAGACCAAGTTCACACTGAAACAAACCCACATGTCGTCGTATCAGAAACGATCTGTGTCACACTCGTCACTTCTGTGTCTGTGTCTCTTTTCTCTCCACAAAAGAAAAACACTTTTGTTTCTGTTTGACACAAACTAAACGTTAAATCACATGACTCATTTGCATAAACTAATGTGTGAAAAAAACTGTTGTTTCTTGTGTCTGATGTGGTTCAGTTTGTGTTGGACTAAAGACACAGAGACTCAGTGGAATATGAGTGTTCTCCCTGTGTCAGAGGGGTGTTCTCTCTGTGTGACAGAGGGGTGTTCTCTCTGTGTGACAGAGGGGTGTTTCTCTCTGTGTGACAGAGGGGTGTTCTCTCTGTGTCAGAGGGGTGTTCTCTCTGTGACAGAGGGGTGTTCTCTCTGTGACAGAGGGGTGTTCTCTCTGTGACAGAGGGTGTTCTGTTTCTCTCTGTGTCAGAGGGGTGTTCTCTCTGTGTGACAGAGGGGTGTTCTCTCTGTGTCAGGGGGTGTTCTCTCTGTGTGACAGGGGGTTGTTCTCTCTGTGACAGAGGGGTGTTCTCTCTGTGAGAGGGGTGTTCTCTCTGTGACAGAGGGGTGTTCTCTCTGTGACAGAGGGGTGTTCTCTCTGTGTGAAGAGGGGTGTTCTCTCTGTGTCAGAGGGGTGTTCTCTCTGTGACAGAGGGGTGTTCTCTTCTTGTGACAGAGGGGTGTTCTCTCTCTGTGACAGAGGGGTGTTCTCTCTGTCTCTGTGACAGAGGGGTGTTCTCTTGTGTCAGAGGGGTGTTCTCTCTGTGTGATGTTCTCTCTGTGTCAGGGGGTGTTCTCTCTGTGTGACAGAGGGTGTTCTCTCTGTGTCAGTCAGAGGGGTGTTCTCTCTGTGAAGAGGGGTGTTCTCTCTGTGTGACAGAGGGGTGTTCTCTCTGTGTCAGAGGGGTGTTTCTCTGTGACAGAGGGGTGTTTCTCTCTGTGTGACAAGAGGGGTGTTCTCTCTGTGACAGAGGGGGTTCTCTCTGTGTGTTCTCTCTCTGTGTCAGAGGGTGTTCTGCTGATGTTCAGTCTGTTCTGTGTTTCTGTCGTGTTGTTGGTTCATGTGAAACTTTTCACACATTATACGTGTGCAGGTGGTGCACACAGACACACGTTTATGTGAATGGACACATATTGTGTGTCTTAGTGTTTTGTGGTGAGTGAGTTGGTGGTGACAGACACACGTCAGAGTATCAGAGTTTTCACACAGTCCCCATCACACTGTACTCACATACACACTAGTGTGAACCAACCACTCACATACACACTAGTGTGAAAGGGGCCTTACTGTTAATGGGAGAATGTTCCAGAAGTTAGAGTTTCTTACTGAGACAGAACTTTACTTTAATAAAATCGTGTAACAGACGAGACAAGTTCACACAAAACTTTATATAAAACATATTTAAAATCAACAAAATGATTCAAATTATTCAAATGAAGCAGGTTTGATTTGTCTAAAACAGGACAGAGGTGAAATGAGAGTGATTTCCTGTCCAGTATTTTTACAGCTTTTTTTTTTTTTTTTTTTTTTTACGTGATTTAACACGTATAGAGTTTGTGTAAAGTGTTTAGAGTTTGTATAAAATGTTTAGAGTTTGTATAAAATATTTAGAGTTTGTGTAAAGTGGTTTAGTTTTGTAAATGTTTAGAGTTTGTGTAAAGTGTTTAAGAGTTTGTTTTGTAAAAGTGTTTAGAGTTTGTGGTAAAGAGTTTGTGTAAATGTTTAGAGTTTGTGTAAAGTGTTTAGAGTTTGTGTAAAGTGTTTAGAGTTTGTGTAAAAGTGTTTAGAGTTTGTGTAAAGTGTTTAGAGTTTGTGTAAATGTTTAGAGTTTGTGTAAAGTGTTTAGAGTTTGTGTAAAGTGTTTAGAGTTTGTGTAAAGTGTTTAGAGTTTGTGTAAAAGTTTAGAGTTTGTGTAAAGTGTTTAGAGTTTGTGTAAAGTGTTTAGAGTTTGTGTAAAGTGTTTAGAGTTTGTGTAAAGTGTTTAGAGTTTGTGGTGACGGTTGCGTGAGCGTTAGAGATGAACATTTCTTTAAACAGACTGTGGACAGGACCTGATCTGGGGTCAGATCTCAGACACTCACAGTCTGGTCAGGACCTGGTGGAGACTCTGGGACCAGGAGCCACAGACTAAACCTGACACTGTGTCCTTAAGCAAGACATTTCACACACACTGCAGAGTGTGAATG